TATAATGCTGAAGGGCAACCAGCACAGGTTCACAGCAGGTAGATCCTGCCTGACTAAACTTGTTTCTTTCTATGACCGATCACTAAAAGCTTAGATGCAGGTGCCAAGGTAGATGTCATCTACTTGGACTTTATGGAGGCCTTTGACACAGTTTCCCATCCTATTCTCATAAGCAAATTGAACAGCTGTGCCATAGACAATTACACAATCACATGGGTGGCAAATTGGCTTAAGGGTCGTACCCAGACAGTGGTGGTGGCTGGGTCAGTATTGACCTCAAAGGATGTGGGCAGTGGAGTCCTCCAAGGCTCGGTACTTGGGCCAGTGCTGTTCAATATCTTCATTACTGACCTGGATGAGGGCGTGGAAAGCACTCTGTTCAAGTTTGCAGATGACACCAAACTACAGGGCAAAGCAAACACACTGATAGGAAGAAACCAAATCCAGGCAGACCTGGGCAGGTTAGAGAAGTAGGCAGAAAACAATAGGATGTAGTTCAACAAAGACAAGTGCAAGGTGCTGCACCTATGGAGAGGGAATCACCAGCACACCTATAGGCTGGGGGATGACCTTTCCAGCAGCACAGTGGCAGAAAGAGATCTCAGAGTCATTATCAACTCCAAGATGAATATATTGTCAATGTGACAAAGCAATTAGCGAGCTAACCACACTTTGTCAGGCATTAGTAGCTCCATCACGAACAGGTCCACGGAGGGGATGCTCCCCCTCAATACAGCACTGGTCAGGCCACAACTACAGTACTGTGTCCAATTCTGGGTGCCGCAATTCAAGAAGGATGTGGAAAACCCTGAGAGGGTCCAGAGGAGGGCCACTCGTATGGTTAGAGGCCTGCAGGGAAGGCCCTGTGAGGAAAGGCCGAGGGACCTGGACCTTTTCAGCCTCCACAAGAGAAGGCTGAGGGGGGGATCTTGTGGCAGTATACAAATTCACCAGGGGGGCAGCAGGGAATAGGAGATGCTCTGTTTACCAGAGCAACCCTTGGAATAACCAGAAACAACCGTTACAAGCTGATGGAGAGCAAGTTTAGGTTGGGTATTAGAAATAATCTCTTCACGGTTAGGGTTGCCAGAATCTGAAATGGGCTTCCAAAGGAGGTGGTGCTCTCCCCTGCCATGGGGATCTTCAAGAGGAGTCTGGACAAGCACCTGGCTGAGGTCACATGACCCCAGCACTTTTTCCTGCCACTGGCAGGGGGTTGGACTCGATGATCCTTTGAGGTCCCTTCCAACCCTAACAACTATGAATCTACAAAAACTGAAGTTATATAGCTACACAGGTGCATGATGGGTAAAGAGGATCTGTCCCTGCAGTGACATGAGGCAGAGAAGAAGCCCAGTTTCCTGGCCCCAGCCCCATGATGATCCACCCAACCATCCCACTTCTCACGTAAATCATTGCTGCTGTCTCCTGAAATATGAAGGATTTGACTGGAATACTGAGCAACATCAATATTTCAAGTAATTAATTTGTTTAAGAAGCCAGTTAATAGATTTTCCAATTGTTATTTAATACCACTAATGAGGGAGTTTTCTGTCTTAACATGATAATGTATAACAGCAGGATCATCAAACATTTTCTGCTCGTTAACTAGTGCCAGGACACTTTCCTGTTAATTAAGTAATAAGTGAATTCAGCAGCTATCTGCTGAGAAGGCTGCACTTGACCTTAAGTTAAAGAAAGATGCAGCTATCCAGAGCAAGCAGTACATAATAATTGAGGATAACTCTACTTCTGAAAACAGTACAGAGTAAGTACCTTGTGGTGATATCACATTAATTCTCCAAGTAGGTTTTGATGAGGTATTTCTTTTTTTTTTTTTTTTTTTTTAAATGGAAAGCCTTTTTCTGTACCTTATTATAAAGTGTGCTAATTAGAAGTTATTGTGTAACCCTGGCATAATTTTACCACTACTTTAAAGATGTACAGGCTGCCAGTTTCTTCTAGAGGAGAGAGCTTCATAATTACAACTGAGCATACCTATTTCCATACCTTAATCCTTTAAATATGTACTTTCAACGACTGAACAATAGCGAACATTTAACTATACTAAAATTAGAATATAAGCATAATTAGTTATAAAGCAGAATCAGGGCGTGTCAGTTTTTCAGCTGGAAAGAATTACATTTCCCTGTTTAAGATTTTATAAACCACTACTATACACACAACTTGTTTTTCTCCAAGGACAAAGCTGGAACATTTTTCTGAGTTTCAGTTTTTCAGGAAGAAATTCTGTTCAAATTTCAACCAAAACAGGAAACTTCTTTTTCCAAAAATATCATCTTCCTTGTCCATGATCTGGTTAAAATTTCATTTAAAATATTGATATTTTAACAAAAAGGGGCACAATTTCTTCTTCATTTATGGCCACCAATAGTAAGATTTTCTAGTCCTGTATCTTAGTATCACTTAGTCTAATTTCAACCCTGAAAGACAGTCCCTTGGCACTGGCTGCCTAGTCTCCACTTTGAGCGTCTCCAGTGACACATCCTTCTACAATCAGCTTCATTACCTTGATTCCCTGTTGAACTTCACTTAACTTTAAGACTACATGTAGATTTCAAAAGGTGGATTTCAACTGATTCAAGGAAATAGTAGGCATGATGTCAAGGGAAGACAGACTGAAAAATAAAGGCACCCAAGGAGGCCTGAAAGCTTTTGAAGGGCACAGTATTGAAAGACCAACAAGAAACTGTTCCAACATGACGGAAACTCAAGAAGAGTGGTAAGAGAATAATGTAGCTGCATAAGGATGTTTCAAATGCAAAAGGAAAGCATACAGGCAGTGGACAGATGAGCAGGTCACCAAGGAAGCATTCTGGGAAATTGCAAGAGCCTGCAGAGACAAAAATCAGGAAAGACAAAGGTAAAAGATGAGCTCCACTTAGTGAGGGAGGTTAAGGACAACAAAAAGAGCTTCTATAAGTATGATGGCCAGAAAAGAAAGACCAAGGAAGCTGTGGGTCCACTATTAAATAGCCAAGGAAAACTCCTAACAAAAGATGTAAAGAAGGTGGAGCTACTCAACAGCTGCTTTCCCCAGTTTTCACAAAAAAGGTAAACTGCAGCCAGACACCTAATAAGAATTAGTTTGGATAAAGATTGGGAGAAGTTGAGGGATGAGATAACAAAAAAAGCACTAGTTCAAAAACTTTTATGGATCTGAATAAATTCAAGTCAGCAGGGCCTGATAAACTTTATCCCAAAGTACTGAAAGAACTGGCAGAGGATATTTTGGAGCCCTTGGCAATAATATTTAGGAAGTCATGGGAGATGGGCAAGGTACCAGAGGACGGGAAAAGAGTCAGTGTAGTGCCTCTCCAAAAAATGGCAAAAAAGTAGATCCAGGGAACTGTAGACCAGTTAGCCTCACCACAATACCTGGAAATTTACTGAAGCATGGGTCCACAGCTGATGCCACTGGCAGGTTCTGGATCAAGGCTCTGGGTGCGAGCTTCCACTGCACCGGGAGGGAAGCAGGTCAGTTGTGGATGCCACCAGAGAGTTTTGCATCTGCACTCCTGAACCTGCCCATCACCCCACAGCTGATGCTGCCACCCACCTGCTGTGGTGGAAGTCCTGCCTGGGTCCACAGCTGATGTCTGGACAAAAGTAGTCCTTCCCACCTACACAGCACCACGCATCAGTCAGAGCCACTGGCTACCCATAGACTACATCCAATGGGTTGGCACCTGTCCACTGGTAGGCCAGATTAAATCTGTTGGAGGGCTGGATCCAGTCTGCAGGCCATATTTTGCCCGCCCAATTTAGATACTGGAATTGGGAAATGTTTGAGCAAATCTGCAGATGTCATGAAGCTTAAAAGGACTGTGAACATGGTGGAGGACAGGAGTGCAATTTGCAAGGATCTGGACAGACTGGAAAGCTGGGCTGGAGCTAACAGGATGAAGTTCAATGCTGACAAATGCGAGGTGCTACACTTATGGAAGAATAATTAAAAATACAAGACAGCTGACACTTAGCTAGATGGCAGCAGCACTTCAGAAAGGATCTAGGAGTCTTGATGGATCACAGGTTCAATACGATTCTGAAGTATGAAGTTCCAGCAAAGTAGGTTTAGACTGGATATATGGAAAATCTTCTTCATTGTTAGAAAAGTGAGGCAGTGGAATAGACTGCCCAGAGAAGCAGTGGAGTCTCCATTATTGAAGATGTTCAAGAGGAGTTAGGACAAATATTGGTCAGGGTTGATCTAGGAGCAGCTATACCAATACTCTCCTTTGGATACTTCCTATGCTTCTGGGCTTTGCTTATTGATGCATGAGACTGGGAAGGATTTTTTTTTCCCTTCTGCTACTACAAGTGTCCAGGGAGAGGGGGAGGGGCAGAGTTTGCCCTCCTCAGAGGGTGGTCTTGGCTGGAGCCAAGGCCGAAGATTTTGACTGGGGTGTGCCAGCACACCTGCTGGAAATTAAATCCAGAGGTTCCTGATACAGGGTCTTCCCATTTTGCTTAAGTACAGACAGTTATATTTGGGGTCAGAAAGAAATGGGATGGTTTGCATAGGGATGATCCTGCCTCAGGCAAAGGGTTGCAATAGATAACTACTCAAGGTCTCTTCCAGACCTACTTTTCTATGATTCTATGAAACATCTGCATGCAACTATAAAATATATAGAAACCCCTGCACCTTCAGTCCAGAAATCTAAGCACTCGCTACTGCATTTATAAGATTATGGGGTATATTGTCAGCTGAGGCCTGCCTTTCATTTTTTGCACTTTTAAAATGAATTTCGGCATCAAGCTGACTACTCCTGCTTCTATTTCCATGATTTGCCCATGAAAATCAGTGGCCAGGAACTGAGATTTTTATAACTAGATCAATGACAAGTGTAAAAATGTTTGCCCAACTTGGACAGATGACACTAGTCTACAAAAGGAAAGCCAAATAATGTTGGCTTCTGAAAATAATTTATTACATTATATTGATTTAGTTTGATCAAAGGCAAGTTGGTCCTTACATGTGACAACATTTCTTTTCCCACTGGCTGCCCTCTGGGTGATGATGGCATATGCTGAGAAGATGGTGTCGGCTGCGTCTCATCCATTTCCTTCTCTGAGGACACATCTTCATCTTCTTCTGTCCATTTGCTTAACTGTTTCTCAAGCGGCCTATCCAAAAGCTGGGGTAGGTGATCTTCTTCAATTGATATGATTCTCTGGAGATGTTTAGCTTGAGTCATTTCTCCAGTACAGTGGTCAGACTCTACAGAAATACATCCATTCAAGCCAACAGAATTCCTTCTTCTTGTGGAGTTACCAAAAACATCTTCTTCTTCAATGGACTGGCTAGATAAACATCAGGAAGAATCCTGTTATAAAACAACCTTATTCTTGGCTTCTATTTAATTTACACTGACCTAATGCTATCCAATGGAGTTACGTTTGACTTAAAATTAGCATAGCTGAGTTATCATCAGGTCCTTATACTCTTTATTATTCAGATTTAAACTATCCCAGTTAGCTGACTGTTAAAAAGTACGTCCAACATTCAGCGTGTATTTTTATAGCATATGTAATAAATTATAGACAGTCAGACATGTATTGTACTGATAAATAAGCCGTACAAAACACAATACTATAATATTAATGAGGAATGGTTTGTTTTGGGGGAAGAAGGTTATTATTAAACACAAATTTCACCTCATCCCTAACCTATCAGCATAGCCATTGCAAGCTTCCCAGGTTACTCTTTTAAAAAGGAGAAAAACCACATACTGTCTGCATGTAACCAAATTTTCACTTCCATAGGAAGGGCCCTGCCATTGCTAGTATGGTTCCATTGAAATGTATGAAGTTGCACCAGTTTATACCAAATGAAGTTTGGCTCTCAATATCTGAACTGTGTTTAATTATTAAAATGCTTCAGGAGACTAAAACACCAACACAGTACTCTTCTGAGGACCTTGTGCTTGCACCTACCCAATGGATAACTTCCTACTATTCTTCCCAGATTCTCTCTTTGCCAAAAAGAAACTTATCAATGAATTACTTTGCTTATGTCAATTTCATATTTATGATCACATCATTAAGATTTAAATCATCTGCATCTTTTCTATGCCATGTGCTTATATGTTATAGCAGGTCATCAGTAACAGGTGATGCAGAAATACCTCTGTTCAGAAAGTCAGGAGGTACCATACCAAATTCATGTCATTCTAAGTAACACCAGCTACTAAACTGCCTTTCCTCCTGGAAGCTTAAAGGTGGCTCTGAACCTCCTTTTCCTCAACTGAGATTGGACTGGCCATATCATACCTTCTAGGCTTTTATTTCTAAATTACTGAAGAACATCCAGTTGTTATACTTGTGGAACTGTTATGCATACATGCAATATCAATATTAGACTAGCTATTCCAAATTGCAGTGGCTTTGAGCACAATCATGCTGAAATAAGTACAGTAGCTCTTTCCTGTGCAATCCCATGATTGTCAGGTATGTCTCAAATAGAAAAATTATGTTCTTACCTTTTAGCCAGTACCTTTCCCTCTACATATTTCCCAATGACAGATCCAGATCTTTGCTTCCAGTTGGCATTTGGAGTACTTGTTTTATATTTCTGCGGGAATAAATTACACCTCTTACTGACTTATTCATGCTATTCATTAAGGGTAACAAAATAGTGGCTTCATTACTAGCATTTTGGTAACACAATAATGGGCATAATAGAAGAATCTTTGCTGGATTAGCTGAGAGGCAACTTGTTTCAAAAGCCTGATGGGTAAACAAGCGGAATGTGGAAACTCCACCTACAACAAGAATTAATCTTCTGTTCAGATTAAGTAGAGCAGGTCATAAAACAGGATAAAAATCAGCAGAGCTCCTCTGAAATTAATTAATTAGAGCATTTTATATCAGCTGAGGATGTGCCTCTCTGTGGCGTCTTGTCTAGATAGAAAACAGGTACAAATGAGTGGACATCCTGATTCTGAATAAAAAAAATTCAATAAAAAGAAGCCAGAGTACCTCTACAGCCCCAAAGGAAGCTTCTACTGCAGCATAAACAGTCAACAGGATTTATTTGTATCCAATGGTAGCATGTTAGAACACTTAAAGCACAATTATGTTTACTAGGTACTCAGATACTGTACTGATGGATAACTGTTTCAAGAGATTAGCTACTGTTGACTGAACAGATGAAATTAATTGAATTTTAATGGTTCCATTTGAAGATTCTCTCATTCCCTCACAGTTGCTTTCTTAGCTTTTTACAAATTCAGGTAATCATCCTCCCAAAAGACAGCTTGAATTTTAGAAACCTATATATGCGGGTTTTTATTGCATTTAGTGAATATATTTTGTTGCCTTAAATCTTGATTTTAACTGGAAAAGGAGCTATAATGGGAGGGGAATGGAACACCACAAGAATCTGTCCCCTCTGCAATGCTCTGAGACTCTGGCTTTTGAGCCCACCTGCTCCTTGTCTGCTGACCACAAAGTTAGGAAATGGTATTTGTTTACCTGTAAGCACATGTCACGTTCATCTTTCAGATGCTTGTTCCTTTCTCTGCAAGGACAATATGTAAGTAAAGAAGCAGCAGGCTACAGCAGAAATTTTGAATCTCAAAATTTGTGCTCACTTCACTATTCAGCACCAGATATTGATTGTTTAGTCAAAAGACTATAGAAAGACCAATCCAAAAATCTTTCACTCTTGCATATCTCCATCTTTGACTGACTCATCTATGCTCTCATAGGACCAGATCTCTGGCTGATGTAAATCTTCACTAAGCCTTAGAGGATTAAAACTGACTAGCATCTGATTTAAATGCTTTAACACATGGAAACTGACTCTAGGCCATATTTTTTCCTTTACTGTACATGGAAAAGTTTCAGACATTTTCATAGTCAGGAACAATTTTTAGTGAAGATTTTGGTGAATACCTTCCAATCACAGTTGTGTAGACCATTCACAACCACATAACACCCCTGTAACATCTCTCCTGGTAGACTATCATTAAGGAAGTATTCTGTACAGTTTTTAGCTTCTGTTAAGGCCTTTTAGCAGCTAGAAATGCATAGTAAAAGGAATCATCTAATTTGCATGGTCAGCCAACGGCAGACTTCAAATTCCAGTTTGAGAGCCTGCAGTGTAATTAATTGTAAAACTATCGTAAACACTTAAAAAATGAATAATGGATGAGAGTTGTCTGACAGCATGTATAACTGACCTGTGCAAACTGAATAACCTTGTGACCAAAACAATGAGGCAATATTTAAATAAAGGATGTTAGTGCACATTAAAAAGTAGTGTTGAAAGTTGGACAGAAATGGCTTCAAATACTAGTTAACCAATCGAAACAACCAGCACAGAATTAGCCAGATACATTTTGACATATTTTTACTAAAAGACTTGCTAGCAAAGAGTCTCAATCTTGGATGAGCTGCACTCAGTGGAGGCATGATAGGTCAAAGGGGCTTCAAGCCACCACTCAGCTTCCTGAACCCTGCCCACTGCATAAGCTAGTCCAGCCTCATAGCTGTTCTATACCTGGCAAGAACAGCCTTCTTTCTAGAACCTGTATCACAGCATAAACACCCACCTTTTTCCGACATATCCTCTAGCCTGCGCTTTGGCAGTGATTCAGCAAATGACACAGAGATATTTCACTGACCCCAGACTGAAAAGGAATCCCTTTCTTCTAGAGATAATACCCAGATGCCATTTCCAATAGGCCAGTGGGAGCCAACCTTTTTGGCAGGTATGTCACAAATTAGTCCTGAATCCTCCATGTCACTCTGATCTCCTTCCCCTGCCTGATCTGCTGCTCTACTTTCTGCTCCTCGCCTTGTGCTCCCTGCCCAATCTGCTACTCTGCTTTCTGCTCCCTGTATTACCTGCTGCAATGCTGTCTGCTCCCCCCCTGATCTGGCACATACCACACACAAAGGCTACCCCACTTGTGGCATGTGTGCTGCAGGTTGGCCAACCCTGCCATAGGCTATGGGTAACACTTCAAAGAATTTGCTCAGCTAGCTTAGAAAAAAATACACGCAGGTTATCACTGCAAAACTAAAGAGGTCCTGCAAATCAAATGTGTATTACCTTAAGAAGTCCAGCTGTTTAAGGAGTCCTGACTTCTCTCTCCGTAAGGTTTCTGTCACTCTGTACACCTCCCTGAAACAAAGAAACATCTTTGTCCTGGACACAATAACACAGAACTGATGGAGTGCCTCCTGCAGCCCGTAAAGAATGCACCTTAAGACCCAAGTCTTGCAGTCCTTATTAATACATACACAGTATTTACTTTGGCTATAAGGTACAAATCTACTCTGCCTGCTATCTGACATAAGACTAACACATCTAACAATGTTTGAGTCCTTAGTATAGATTAAAGTGTCACTGACTTCACAAGAAGCATGGCTAGCATAAGGAACACAGAATCAGATTATGTTAAGGGGTTTTGTTTTCCTTTTGTTAAACTCAACTCTCCTAGTGGTAGCTAATAACCAAGGGGTTAGAAGATGCATCTTCTTAAGACCTTCAGCCAGTCCACTACACTGTGGCCCTGGAGCTCACCTCTTTCAGAGATTTAAACTCCTTGCCCTGAACAGTCAGAGACCAGATAATACCTCACAATAATAGAGGTGTTACCCTGGCTGTCAGTTCAAGTAATTACTTCTCCCTTATTAAACAATTTACTTCATTTTATTTCCTGTCCTAAACTAGTAAACCATCAATCCTTCTAGATCATGGTATATGTGAGTGGTCACCAGGACCTTCAATGCATATGTCTAAGCAGGAATATGGAGGAGTAGAGGCTGCCCAGACTTCCCATCCCCTTTTCAGAACATTAAGACAGAATCCAAAGGCCAGACTGAGTCTGGATTTCATAGACATTAGGGCTGGAAGGGACCTCGGAAGATCATCGAGTCCAGCCCCCTGCCCAAGGGGCAGGAAGTCAGCTGGGGTCATAGGATCCCAGCAAGATAAGCATCCAAATTTCTCTTGAAGGTGTTCAATGTGGGTGTTTAAACCACCTCCAATGGCAGGCTATTCCAGACCTTGGGGGCTCAGACTGTAAAGAAATTCTTCCTTATGTCCAGCCTGAAACAGTCTTGCTGGAGTTTATAACCGTTTGACCTTGTCATCCCTTGGGGTGCTCTGGTGAACAATCGTTCCCTAAGATCCTGGTGAACACCCCTGATAAACTTATAGGTGGCCATCAGATCACCCCTGAGTCTGCGCTTTTCCAGGCTGAAGAGCCCCATAGCTCTCAGCCTGTCGTCATGAGGTCTGTTTTCCTGACCTCTGATCACGCGCGTGGCTCTTCTCTGGACTCTCTCAAGCTTCTCCACATCCTTTTTGAATTGTGGAGCCCAAAACTGGACGCAGTACTCCAACTGAGGCCTCACCAAGGCCGAGTACAAGGGAAGAACGACATCCCAGGATTTACTTGAGAAGCATCTATGGATGCAAGCCAGCGTTTTGCTCACTTTACTAGCCGCTGCATCACACTGAAGGCTCATGTTCATCTTGTGGTCAATTATGACCCCCAAGTCCTTGGATGTTTGGTGACTCAATGGTTGTATTTATGTTTGTGTCCAGGAATTTAACCTGGGTCTCAGTCATGGCAAACAAGGATTCTACCACTGAATCACTGTGTACCTAAAACGCACAAAGCCAGATCCTCAGAAAGAACACAACAGGTCAGGATGTATTTGACACCATGGTTGCCTATTTGAAATCTATAGATTTCTCTTGTGAATCAAGAATAGATATTTGCACATCTTATGCTGCTTATATTGAGCGGCAACCTTAAAAGGAACGCATGGCACCCTGGTTGAGAATCACTGGACTAGTATATTAGGCATGAGTACTACCATCATTGCTGTGCTTGAAAGTGTCCACAGGGTTCTGTGCTTTGCACTGAATTCAGTGGTGCCAAAAGCAATCAAGCATTAGCTCGGCCAGCTGAACAGCAAACAAATATGGAACTCTGGAAGAGTTTAGGTGCTTGCCAGTGCTGATCTGTATTGCAGTGAGGTTTAGGTGCGAGTTAAACACCTAGGTAAGCACACTTACATCACTTCTGAATGTGCTCAGAAGCCTAAGCGTAGCCACTGAGTAAGCTCTTCAAACCAAAATGGAGATAGCTAATGATTCTAGTTGTCTAAACAGTTTGCAGCTGCCAGAGCTGGGTCAGTCTGGATCCCTCTTTGGTGCTGAGATCCTTGCCACCAAGTTTACTTTTGGCTCCTACAAGGACATTTTGGATCCGACTTCAATGGGGCTGCAAAAAGTTACAGCAGCTGAAGATATGGCTAGAATATTCTGCTTTTAAATGGTGTGGGAAGTGCTACCCAAGCATGCGCCCAAGGCACACACTGCTCTGAATAGCTCAGCAGTGCCCTGAGGGCACTGGTCCTAGAGAGATACTGGGGATCATGCTGAATAGCACTCTAGCAGCAGGAGCTCGGCATGATCCAGATCCAGCTCCAACTCTGTAAAATGCTCTGAAATCAAAGTAAACATAAAGTTACTGTTCAACAGTTTGATCACAGCAATGGAGGACAGCTGAGGCACCAGTGCACAGGTTTCCTGTGCACTGTGGAAACCTGTGCACTGTGGAATTACCCAGGAGCTGATTGCAACATGGACTCTGCTTTACAGCTGAGAAACAAGGGTCCCTGAAAAGGGGAAAGGAGGTGGGGGAGGGAACACTCCAAACTGTTTGCTTCAGACCCTCATCTGAAACATAATGAGGCAGCAATCAAAAATGCAGCATCCATTCCCCTGGAGGCAGTAAAGCGCCAATGAGTGAGGTCCTGCTGATTCGTGTCACCTGAGGATCAGGCTCTCATGATTTAAATGGGCTCAGTGCTGGGTGATTTTGTCCTGAAAGTGTTATTCATGCATTCAGGACTGCTTTAATGAGCAAAAACCAAGAAGGGTTTAATGCAATGGCCTGACTGGTAGAGACAACAGCATTAAGTCCAATACCATTCTGTGTTACAGAAACTACCCACAATTCTGAGTTAGATCTTTTACAATGAAACTAACTGATACTGGAAAAAGGAGTATTCTGAAATGTTGCCTACTGGTGAATCACATTTGGGCTTAGCAATATCCATACTCTCTCTGACAGCTTTCATGCACATGTATGCGAGTGAAAGTGTGCTTGATATAAAAGCTTGCGGAAAGGGAAAATGTGGGGTTCATGACTTATGTTCACCAAAGGCTATATCCTCAAGTCCCTGGGTGAGTTCAGCTCTCAGCCGCTTCCGCTGTGGCCTTTCTGGCATCTTCAGATGCCTAAATAGGAGCCAAATGCTGAAAACCTGGCTTTAATTAGGAAAAATCTGCCTGTTAGGAAAATTACAGTTTAGGGGAACAATTCTGCTTATGCAGAGGGCCAGAGCAGACGTTTGTCACTTAGCCTCCATTTCTACCCCCTGATGATTGGAAATTACTTTTTTCCTCAGGACATTTTGAATTGGGCCAAGAAAAAAAAAAAGGACCACCCTGGAATCCAAAATATTTCAGCAGAAAGGTTTGGATTCTGAAATGCCAGCCTGGTGCTTCATGGGAGATGCAGCTCAGGTGGATCATGCTCCTATTCACTGCTATAGGCCAAGTGAGATAAACATCTCCCACGATGCATCATGGTCTCCTCTTCTGATGTGAGGTGTTGCATCATGGCAGTCAGATAGCCACATGGTACACTGTGGCCTGCAGTAGAGAATGGGTACCAGAGGCATCCAAACCACAATTTTTGTTTTCCAATGAAATATTTTAGGGGTCAGCCAACAACAAAGTATGCTGTAGTATGTGTGTGAAAGGGGAGTAGGAGGAGCGTGTGCACGTGTCTGTGCGGGGGGGGAGGGGGTAACACTGTCAATTTTAATGTTGGAAAATTGTTTCAGAAAATATTTGGTTAGCCCTACTAATATATACCTTTGCATGGAATTAAAGGGTGCACAGGCTCTGTACTAGCCCTCTACAGATGGTAATATTTGCAGTCAAGACAATCAGGAAACAAGTGACACCTGTGTAACCCCTCCTTTTGAGTGGTGCTTAGCTTAATAGCCTATTCTAGCTCACAGGACTAACCTCTTAAACGTAAGGTTGAATGAGAATATTCATTGAATGATAAAAAAGTAGGGCTGGAAGGGACCTCTGGAGGTCATCTGGTCCAGCCCCCTGCCCAAGGCAGTATCATCCTTATCCAAACCATCCTATACAAATTGTCTAATAACCCATTAGTGAAACAACAGTCAACACTGACAGCCACAGGGCATAACACCCTAAGCTGACACAGGCAAAGCAGGGGGACAATGGCGGCCAATGTTCCATCACTACAAGGACTGTTAAAAATATGCTTGAGAGATCCAAGGAACAAACATGATAGAGGCAAGCAGGCCTGGTCCTACACTGCCTGGCATCTTGCATAGTTGCACCATGTAGCTTGTGAAAAAGCTATTGCAAAACAAGTGTATAAGTTAACTGCCTCAGTAGGTGGACAGTTCTGCTTGGGTGGTACTTTACACACAGTTTGGGCAGATATAGGTCACTGAACAAGGTGCAGGACACACAGAGAATCAGACTTGCTGTCTCTTCAAGCAAGTACACAAGCACCACAAGCAGCTGTCACTTACACTTCTTTTTCTTCCTGCAGTTTTGAAGCCTCCTCCTGAAGCATCTGTAACTGTTGCTGGGCGATGGTTAACTCCTGAGAAGTTCTCTCCAGATCCCGCAGCAGCTCCTTATTTGTTAGCTTCAGCTTGGTGTTCTCCACTTTGGTCTCTTGCTTGTCATTGTGTAGCTCCTTACACTGCCCCTCCAACTGGGGGAGGGAAGGCAGGAAAACAAAGAACGTCATCCACTGACTGCACCATCTTACCTTTGTAGCAAAATGATTCTTCAATGTTAAAGCCTTAGGGCAGTGGTGGCCAGTCTTTTTTGGTAAGCTTACCACAAGTAAAGTCTAAAATATAAGGTAGTGCCACTCTAATAATCAGCCAACACCCTCGTCCAGTGCCACCAAATCCTGTCACCATGGGGAAAAGGCAACACTGAATTTGGTGGTACCTACTCCCACAGCTCCCAGGAGGCCAGAGCCTCAAACCAGCACCACTCCTCTAGTCCAGCCCTAATCTCATTGCTGGTGTTCCCTTTAACTCAGTGACTGGGGCTTGTGAGCCGAAGATAATGGCTAACCATGATACTTGTAGAGCACATACCCTGAGTTAGCCACCACTTAGTGTTTCTATACAGGGGAGCAATTACAAAATAAGCATGCAAAATAATTTAATGCACACCAGCTATTCTATGCTACCTCCCCAGGTAGACACATTAAGAGCACCAAGGCCAAGCTGATAAAGTTTTATTCATCTTCCACAGAGGATACTTGGGAAGGGTGATAAACAGAGAGTAGCTAACTGGAGCTCCTATTGCACAGAAAAGCTCTGGCACAATGCTTTAACCTGCCACTGACTTGATTAAACAAACAAAACACCTTTGTTTAGTACAAATACTTGCCTGAAACATGCAAGTGTTTTGTTAAAAATTAGGTTCTTTATTACTATTAACACCTTCTCAGTGACATTGAGGGCCTAGACTATCTGTGAGTAGGCTATGGCTCCAGTTGATGGGGACTGGGGCAGAGATCAAAAAGGGTCAACTGTGGCTCCCCAAACCTGAAGCTATTTCTATGATGACCCAGGCCTCAGCTTGGTTTAAAAACAGCCTCAGGATGTCTCTATACATGATCTATACCTGCCCCTGGTTTCACCCACCACTCTATGCAGTAGACTGGAAGAGCTTAGAACTGGGGTGGGCAAAATGCAGCCTGCAGGCTGGATGTGGCCCACCAGGCCATTCTATCTAGCCTGCAGGGCCCCTAAAAAATTTAGAAAATTAATATTTATCTGCCCCTGGCTACCTGTCATATGGCTCTCGATGGCTTGTCAAAAACTCAGTAAGTGGCCCTCCGCCCAAAATAATTGCCCACCCTGGCTTAAAACATTCTGCACCAGCAAGGACTTATTCATACCCAGAGAATCCCAACTGTGCAGGTCAGGACAGTGTGTAGCCCTGCTCTAGCACCAGAGCAAGGCAAAAGGGGAAGAACCGAGTTCTGAAATCAGGGAGAAGTTGTCAGAAATAAGAAATGTAGACTAACTATAACAGACAACATGTCAGAAAAGCAATGACCAACCTGACTTCCTTCTGTGCATGGTGACAGGCTCTGCAGATGAGAGGACAGCAGTGGCTGTGATATACCTTGACAATAGCAAGGCTTTTGACAATCTCTCACATTCTCATTAACACTATGGAAAGGATGTAGACAACTTGGAGAGTCCAGCAGAGGGCAACAAAAATGGTTAGGGGGCTGGGGCACATGACTTATGAGGAGAGGCTGAGAGAACTGGGCTTCTTTAGTCTGAAGAAGAAAAGACGGAGGGGGGAATTCATCTACCTGGAGGACTGTTCCAAAGAGGATGGAGCTAGACTATTCTCAGTGGTGGCAGATAACAAAATAGGGAGCAATGGTCTCAAGGTGCAGCAAGGGAAGTTTAGGTTAGATATTAAGAAAAAACACTCTCATGAGGAGGGTAGTAAAACAGTTACCCAGAGGGGTGGTGAAATCCTTACAGTTACCCAGAGGGGTGGTGAAATCCTTAGAGTTTTTTAAGATGCAGGTAGACAAAGCCTTGGCTGGGATGATCTAGTTGGGGAGGGTCCTGCTTTGAGCAGAGGGTTGGACTAGATGACGTCCCGAATTTTCTGTGATTCTAAGATAAGGAAATACAGACTACACAAAAGTACTGTAAGACAGATAAATACCTGGTTGGATCAGATAAATAACGGTTGGATCATCATGCTCAGCAAGTAGCTATGAATGTCTCAATGTCAGGTTGAGAGGAAGCATCAAATGGGCTTCCCCAGGGGTCTTTCCTGAGTCCAGTATTGTTGCATACCTTCATTAATGATCTGGATGATGGGATTGAGTGCATGCTTAGGAAGTTTGAGGAGGACATCAAGTTGGGTAGAGTTGCAGACATTTTGGAGGTTAACACTAGCATCCAGAAAGACCTAGACAGACTGGAGAAATGGTCTGCAAGGACTTAGGGGCTGCGTTAGACCATAAACTGAATATGATGAGCCAACAGTGTGCTCTTGCTGCAAAAAGCAAAAAAACCCAACAACAAAAACCCAGCATACTGTGCTATATTAACAGGAGTGTCACTTTCAAATCAAGGGAAATGATTCTTCCACTCTATTCAGCACTGGTGAGGCTTCACATAAAGTACTGTGTCCAGTTTTGGGCCCCACACTTCAAGAAAAATGTGGACAGATTGGAAACAGTCCAGTGCAGAGGAGCAAAAGTGATTAGGGGCCTGGGAAGCACGATTTATGAGAAAAGGCTGAAAGAATTAGGATTATTTAGGTTAGAGAAGAGCAGACTAAGAGGAAATTGGGTAACAGTCTTCAAATACCTGCAGAGTGATTACAGAAAGGATGGACACGGGCCTAAGGGACAAGACTAGGAGCAATGGCCTCAAGTTTCAAGAGGGAAAATTTAAACTGGAAGCTAAAAGGAACTTTGACTATGAAGGCACTGGAACAAGCTATCTAGAGAAATTATGGGATCACCATTCTTACAAGTTTTCAAAAGCAAGTTAGACAGACACTTGGCTGGGATGGTTCAGTCAGGGATGATCCTGCCTTGAGTAGGGGGCTGGACTAGATGACCTGGCAAGGTCCCTTCCAGCTTTATTTTCCTGTGATCCTATGAAAGGGTACCCACAAATACATAAAAACTATTTTTTCCCCAAACGTGTTTTAAAATATGTCAAGTGCATTGGGAGTTTTAAAATGATACAAGTTAAGTTTCTGAGACAGAGACACACAAAGAATGAAAAGACCCAGAACACAAATATTGCCTGTCACTGAACTTTTGTGCTCCTGGAAGGCAGGGACTGACTGCATTGAGTACAGGCAGGTTTCCTTACCCAGCTCTGCCAATCTGCCTCTCAGCCCTGAGCACCCTTAATGTTCTGGTTCTGTAGCATGTAAAATACTCGGCCATGTTTTTTTCAGCTTGTTCACAAACAGTTCACTAGGGTTATTTGATGTCTGATCTCTGAGTGTCAAGCTGTGTTTTTTAGTGCTGACCAGTAGCATAGAAGTCAAACAAGGTATTAGAGTCCTCCACTGAGGAAAACAAAAAAAGAACTAAAAGAACAGCTTCAATCTAATGGTGTTTTACATGTCCAAGGGGAGGAGCAGAAAGGGAAAAGGCTGCAAATTATCACGATAAGTGAATTTTAAGAGCATGTGATCTGTTCTTTCCTGGGGATGTACTCACTGCAAGGTGTTCACCCAGAAAAATGAGCTTGTGTAAGAGTTATAGTCTGGGTGAAGAGTTGAGGTATGATCTTCCCCTCATGTCATATGATGTTAACTGCTCATGTGGTCCTGTTTGTGCGAGATGCAGGCCAAGGCTCCCATCCATTTTTTTTTTCATTTCACAGCTCTGGTAAGAGGCCACAGGGAACTCTGTTCCCTTGCTGTGACAAGTAGCTTCCTGCTCTTTACAAAATGTACCAGCAGCCTGGCTTTTAGAAGGGCTGAGCACCTCACAAATCCAGCTGAGTTGAGTGGGAACTGAGGCTGTGCAGACCCTCTGGAAAAAAAAAAAAAAAATCAAACCCTATACATTGCAGATGCTGGCTTATCATTTTCTATATTAGGGTCTGTAAACTGCCCATCACTGGAGGCAGTCTGCAATGCCATCTTTGGTATCAGTAATTGCATCTGTTTTACAAAACTGCTTGTAGGGTGTAGCTATGTGTTTGTAAGGCTTGTGTTATTGTTAAGTATATGTGGCAGAACTGTGCCTATAGACAGTAGCTGATGAAGGGGAGCTCAACAACTGTTCATCCCTGGAGTCCCACTCTAGTCCTAGAAGTAGAACTGAAGTGGTACGTTAGCCCTGACATTCACCTCTACACAGAGGCAGATTTTGCCCAACAGCGACACAAGTATAAGTAAAGCAACTTTGCTGCTACACCTGAGTGAACACTCACAATGTTTTATCAGATTCTCCCACACTTTGCTTGTGACCTAAATCACAATCTGAATTGGCTACACATTCAGGAGGGGAATGGATATGCATTAATCACTATGTCATCAACTGTGCAACCACACACAATAGAAAGATGCATCATTATAAGGGGAAGGAAGGGGGGACACCTACAATTTGCTGCTGATTAGGAATAGCATTGCTAAATTATATTAAAAAATCCTACATTTACTGAAATTTAGGATGCAAAGTAAATACCACAAAAAGATGGATGTCCAACAGCAATGATATTTCACACTAGTAATATTAATTTATTTGCATGGAGCATCCTGCATACATGACAGGCAATACAGGCAGTGATGCCTAGAATTAAAGTTGTCCAGTGATTTTGATTATAAGCCTTCTGTCATTACTCGCTTATACTTTAAATATAGAAGAAGGTTAATGTTGCTGGTGAAACTTTTTTCATTTCTTAGAAGTTTATTTTAATTATGCAATATCATCTCTGTATTAAAGTACAGTGATTGGCAGGGGCTTTTGGCATTCAGTTTCCATGTTTAAACTTCAGCTTATTGATCATTAATACTGCCAGCATGCAAATATGCCCAACCTAGCTCTAACAATCACACTTTCATTGAGCTGAAAGGGATGGAGACAATTGTGTGTCAGCTTTGCTTCAGAGAAATAGATGGCCTGATTCTGGTGGTTTTTGACAGCCTGGCACCATGGAATGCTGCAGAGCAGCAATAAACCAG